GTTATCATTCTTCATTACAGTACTTGCAATATAACTTGCATTATAGTCAGGTGCACAAATATTGACTATACTTTCTACATGCACGAATATTCTACACGGGGTTATGAGGTGGCTAATTATATTTATATGAACCGTTACACTGACGTGTTTATATGAACGGTTACACTGCCGCTGCGACTATGCTGATGCGCACACGAACGTTACCCTGCTTAAAAATGTATTTATTCCCTCGTTCTAGTACGGCTAAGTTAACACTGTATGTCAGATTTCGTGCAAGCTACCTATAGCAATGAGCTTATGAGATAAAAATGTAATTGAACATCGATTTATAATAAATCATGTTTGTTTTTTACTCGAGCACCTTTCGAGTGTCGTCTGCATATATTCTACTGTTGTTAGCAGTCAGCTGGTAAGCTGCGGACCCTAACTCGCCGTTGGTCGGCGCTGGTGTCGCGCGTGGGACATCGAAACTGTATGGCAAGCATAGCGGCTGTCCCATCTTATTGTATACGATCTTTGATAATACATGATAATTATTAATATATATTTTTATTTCAAATAATTTAATGTTTATTTCTAACCAAAAAAACAACACTTTAAACTAGTGTAATAAAATTTAAACTCCTAAACTACACCGAACTAGATTCATGTGAGTAGACTCGGAGCTCTGGTAGACTATCGCGGTAAGTATCAGTGCATCACTTTGGCTAGCTATCAGTATCAGTGTCACCACACTTGGGAAGTTGGGTGCAGTGGGAGTGGCCGGCCATATTGAATCTGTTTGGTGCAATCAGCAGCACTGCCAGAAGGATAAGCCATGTCACACATGTGTCAGTGATTCAACCAAACAAATTGCTAGATTATATGATCAGGGGCAATCTTTATCAGGAGTATTGTGCATATAAATATTAATTAGACATTGGCCCAAGCCTAGTTTAGGACTCGGATTAGTGTAGCACATATAATGCGAAAACATATTGCAGTGGTCCCAAACTATCCTTGATCCGACACGTCTTCTGACTTCTTATTTTCAGAATTCTGTTGCTGTTTTATCCGTGGCAGGAAAGTGCAAGTTTTTGTGTTGGTTCAGTTTCAAATATTAGTCAAGGTAAGCATAAAAATACTATGAGCAATTTAAATTTAAATTCTAGGGTGCAGAAGTGGACAAATTGCTAGCTATATTATATACACTCCCTCATTGAAAGCAAAATCGTTATTTAATTCACAATTTGCTATGATATCATCCTTGGATGGCTTTGTGAATAATTAAATTAAAATGTGTATACCCCACTCTCTTCCCATTCAGCTGCCATTCCTCAGTCAGAGATAGCGCAGTGTCTACCAAGACATATCTATTAGCCACTTAGACTACTCTATGTTTTAAACTGCCTCACCTTTTACTTGGCATCACCCTGCAAAACATTCTACATAATACTGACTAATTACGTCATCAGGCATTTAGTTAAGTATTATTCATAGATGAGACCTTTTGTAGAGCAATTGCCATCATCATCACACTAACCTTAAAGCCACAATATGCGCATCTACACGCTAATTTCTCCAGTACTAGACTAGCAAATACTTCATGACATGCATAATCAGACTACCTTATGACAAAATAAACTCTAGTTCCTCCCATTTCACTGCGCGTTTGCTTAAAACCCACAAGAAAGAGGTGCGAAATCTGGTAATCTGGCGTCAACGTCGACTTGCCAAACAATTTAGCCTCGAAGCGGTTAGGTGACGTCACATGTTTTTATCTTTGCTACGGGTGTTGAGCCAGAGAATATAGTCGTTTACATTTTAAGATAGTTGTAGTATTGTGAACTGCAGTGTATGTAACATCAATGGCTATTGGGAAAGTAATAATAGGCAGCGTAATAAACTCTGAGAATAACATATTGATTTTAGGCTTGATATCGTGAACGATAACATGTCATTGCGCTAACAGCGATCGAGCGACAAACGCACATGGGCCGTAGAAATCTTTGCTACACCCGCTGTACGGTTGCTTGGCAGAGCAACGTGAAAGTGTCAACAACTTTTATGCTATGCTATTGCACATGTTCGGTTTGCTTGACATGGTGTTTACACATCCAGGGCACAGCCGAGCGATCGTTAACAGTTCTTTTCTATGATAAAACAAGTTATAATTTGTTAATCGATGTTTGTTCAGTACAAAATTGTGAAATTTGTTTAAATCATGTTATCTACATTACGTATGCAATCAGCAAACAAATATAGTGCTTTCTTTCCAGGAATTATTTACGCTAGCCTATAGGCCTACTTTTAGCGTTCTCGGTCGCTTCGCTCGACACAATGTATACATGTGTATCTCTATACACCAAAACTTTCTCCGGGAAAGTTTTCAAAATGCTCTACTTCTGAGGATAGTTCTGGCTTAATGAGAACATTTCGTGATGTTTTCGTGCTGCAAGTATGCTTGCAGTAGATGTATTTATGCATCTTGTTGCGAGAACTGGCCACTTTAAAGAATATGGTGCCTTGAACTTCTTTTTTGGAAGGAAACATTTGCCTTGATGTCCTTTCAACTTTCTGTGTTGCCCTAAAATTTCATATTATTCTTAAGCCTTAGGTAAGACTTTCATCGCCCTAAAATGTGTCTATTTTGTGCTTTGTTACAGGATGGATGTGAACGACGATACGACACAGTACCAGGTCACGCGCAGGAAGTCCTTTCAGGAGACGCAGTGGCGATCACGGGTTCTCCGGCGCTGCATCATTCCCACTATCATCACGTTCACAGGCATTTTCTTGGCGATAGCCATCGGCAATGTCATTTTCTACCTCGCTATCAGACCGAACCGGTATGGGGGCTTTCAGCTTGCTTCTGTAGGAGAAATGCAAACACTATCGGAAGATTAGTTTCATGAATTTCTTGCATAACTACGGTGCTCAGTGCGATAAGGAAAAAACATGCATGCATGAACACACACATACGTGCGCACTCACGCACACTCAGCATAATAAAATGTCATATCATTTTTAGCTCACCTTGACATCGTCAAGATTAGCTATTGCCATGGGGCGTTGTCCGTCTGTCCGTCCGTCTGTCCATCAACATTTGGTAACGGTCAACGATAACTCAAGAACTGTTTGACCCACATGTTTCAAATTACATACAGTTGTTACTCCTATGGGAGAGATTTGAACGTCCTATGTTGGAGCACGCCAGTCGACCTACTTTCGAGCCACGCCCATTTTTTGGCAAAAATGAAAATGGCCATCTAGATTCATTCAATTTTGTTAAATTTACCTACCTACCTACCTACCTAATCATACGTACGTGTAATATTGTGTTTTAGATTCTTCGTTACAGTAATTTGACTGGAATATTTTATTGCTTTTATTTGCACGATAATCAAACAACAAAATGGCGATCATTTAGGCGTAGCGCCATCTCTCGCCCAGATTTCAGACTATCAGATCTGAAACATTTATTTTAGCATCAAAACTAACACTGAAACAAAGCAGTGAAATTTCTATTAGTATAAAACGGGGAATAAAGACATTTGATCACATTTTAGTCCGTCATAAATGAAACCTTTACCAAATGTTAAATATCATCTCCCTCTTCTATCACACCTAAGGTGAGATATAGTGTCATTGACACTCATTCTTTTTGTAATTTGAATCTCGTAAAATAAGATACATCCCCAAATATTAAATTTTCAAGGTTTAACATTAAAGTTGATAAACCTCACAGCTAAATGCATATATACACCTACTGTGCACTTGCATATGTTGCAAAAATTCACTACAACTCATTTGTATTGCTACTTTCATAACATTTCTTCTCAAAATCTAAACGAAATTACTTCTCTTACGAACGTAGCACCACAGTGATGTTTACACATCCGGGACACAGCGGAGCGATCGGCTCAATTCATTAACAGTTCCTTTCTATGATAAAACAAGTTATAACTCATTATTCGATGTTTGTTCAGTACAAAATTGTGAAATTTGTTTAAATCATATTGTTATCTATATTACTTATGCTATCAGGAGTGTATCAATATTGATATTGATCTTGATTTCAATATTGATATCAATATTGATACACTCCTGATGCTATCAGGAAACAAATATAGTGTTTTCGTTCCAGGAACTATTTGCGCTAGGTTAGGGCTACTGCTAGCTGTGTAACAAAACCGCGTCCAACAGATTTTTCAAAATAGTTAACTTCAGAGCACATTTCTGGCTCAATGAGCACATTTCGTGATGTTTGCACACAGCAAGTATGCTCACAGTAGGTCTATATAGGCTTTTTGTTGTGAGGTTTATCCATTTTATGCTCTCCTCACAGGTACTGTATGTTTTTTTTTTGCAGAGCATACTAGTGCAAACGGATCCATTTGACCATTGCTTCATGGGAAAAAAATGTGTCGCATATCTACTACATACGAATATGAAATTACTAGAAGAACCAAGTCTAGGACTCGGTAGCCGTGTGCTGATCGAAGAACGTCTCATCTGGAAATCAATTCAGCATCTAAAGTGTTTCAAATGCACTCTGAACTTTTTATTATGGTATTTGTTTTCATAGGTGTGTATCTCCATGTGCGGCGCAGTATTATTATCTCTATATGACTCACAATTACTAGGGCCTCGCCCTGGAGGTTGGCTGTAACCCATGTCTGTCAGCCCCTCTCGCGTCTATCACGCAGCCATTTATTCGGCCAGCCATTGTCCATGTAGCGCTGTGTCGTTAGAGCAGCCGTTATTCTCATGGTCTGCACAGGATTACTTGGAGGCATTGTATGTAGTATGTAAGTAACTGTGATTCTAAGCACATATGCGTTGTTAACGGCCATCCGTGGTACCGGTCAGTTATTACACTGAGCTTCAGTTACGTCAGGCAACAGATGAGTAGTACATAGCGATTGGCAGTTCATCTTGGCATTCGCTATGTGTTATGTTTTATTGGTGTTTCGTTCACATACCTTGTTCTTTTATGCATACTCTTGTGTAACGATCTTGCTGATTTTATAGTGTCATGTAAGTTTTATCTATCACTCTACATTTTCAAGTGGATTTAAAATGCAATTTGCTGTATGAGTCTCTAGACATAGGTATTTCTAGACTTGAAATCTAGAAATAATCCTGTATATTTTGTTCGCTGGCAATGTGCAATCACATGCAATGTGCAATCAAATGCAATGTGCAATCAAATGCAATGTTGTTACATGCAATGTGCAATCAAATGCAATGTTGTTACATGCATTGACCATCGTCATTTCGTCAGAGTAATAGATGAGATTCAAACTCATTTTGTAGTTTCATGCTGCTCAAATAGCACTCACCTTCTCATTGGGCATGATGCGGTACTTGTAGTATTGTTAGGCTACAAGTAATTAGCTGCTCATTAGTGATGTCATGCTATTATACTGAAATCTCAATCTAGACAAAGTTTGTTGTTTTACTTTTATGTTAGGAGTGCAATTTACCATTATTCATATGTGTATCTTATGAGGATTTTGAAATTCTGATTAATATAGCCAAAGATTAAATGCCAAAGATGGGTAGCTAAACGATCTACGAACAAAATAGTGTGCAATAAGTACTAGCGAAATTTTTGTGCACTCAAGAATATTTTGTAATGTTGAAATGCGTTATTCTTTCTAAATCAGTCTAATTATCTCCTTATGGTCCTACTCATATTGTGTATCACAAGCGAGGTACTGGAGGTTTTATCTTTGTTTGAATCTGGTTGGGAAGTTTTTTCAGGGATTGAACGTTGGCCTGCTGTTTTCAGCCAGGTTCTAATGCAGGAGTGTAATACGAATTCATATTTTGTAATTGGAAGTCGGGAGTCGTGTGCCTTAATTACCTGCTCATCGGGTGCCTGAGATATTTCATCTAAGGTCCAAACAGGTGGATTTGGCAAGGAGAAGGATTATTTTGAATTTTACGGGATAATGCAATTTTTTCATGTTGTATGGAATTGTTCTGTGTGTGCATATATCTGAATTCTTTATGTGCATAGTTCTAACTCCTGCCTTGTATGTAACAAACATATCAAGAATATTCGAGATTCTAGCAATAGAACAGGGTGTGCCTTCTTGGAAAGCAAGTTTTACATGATAAATGTTTTTACCCGTTCAGTTATGGCACGCCGTCAGTTATGCGTGTCTTCATTTTACACAAAAATAAATTGTTTAGAATACCTGTGTTTTTATTGTTTCCATTTCGCCAAGGAATTTATACTGTATTTGGGTATAACAGTTGCTGAGCGATTACGACTTCGATGAAACGCATTTTCTGTTGAAGAGAACGATCATTTTCCTAAAATGTGTGCATACATCCGGATGAATTCTACCAGGGTACGGGAGACGGAGACGGGAGAAAACGGGGCGGGAGTGGGAGGATTGAGAAAAAGAGAGTATACTAAGTAGATCAAAATAAAAGAAATCCATAGCACGAGAAATAAATACATGAGAAAATACGTTGTACCGGATAAATACATTTATCACGCAAACTGTCAGAGAAACTAATTACATTCAAAAAGAAAATGCAAATATAAAGAATCCTGGAGTGTTGAGGGAGGGAGATAGGAGGTGGGCCAAGAGGAGGCGCGGAGGCGGAAGAGAAGGGGAGGAGGCAGGAGGAGAGGGGGAGGGAGGCGGGCAGAAGACAACCCCTGTACCTCCCTCCATTATAATAATTCTGATTGTCACCGTGTCCCTGCCTCCTAAACCCTATAAATAACTACACCGTGACTACCCCAGCCCGTCTGTGAGACGGAATAGTCTAAAGCAGGCACGTAACCATGTGCGCATATATGAATTATTTCTACCGGTAGATGGCCCGAGAATGTCATATTTGATCAAAGTCGCTGCTACATTATTGAAATGCATACATCGAAGTGCACAGTAGGATGGGCATTTCACGGCCAAACCTTTACCAATCTTATCCAGTAAATGTTGTTCTGTATAGGTACTGTAATTATATTAATTCCACTCACGTTAAATACGTTTAGAGTATTATAATAAATTTAATAATGCGTTTTACGATTACATGCAACATACAATGCGCATATGAATTATTTCTCCCGATAGATGGCGCGAAGATGTCATTTGATCAATGTCGAGCGTTGTATAGACGCATGGAATCAGGTGAAATAAACAACTGCATAGTTTGTATTGTAATAACAACAGACATTCTTCGGCATCGATTGATGTTACGATATGCTATTATATTTATATTATATTTATTAATATGCCCGTGACTTTTGCTTAGCACCCCAGATTAGTTCATTAATTTCTATAATAGTTTTAATACGGTACCCTAAACCATAGATATATACAACACATGTGGGTTCAAGGATAGAGAACATGGCTCCCATTGAGACCTAAGTCATTTCGTAAATGTGGGGGTAGCCCCTTTAAAATCGACAGGGGTCTGTTGAGGGTGTTCTTTGTTGATTCGACTGATAAACATTATTGAATTAATAGGAAGTGTCGAAAAAAATGCGTTGAAGCGACCCTACCCGTTTTCGGCCGTCCTGACCATTGCGACGCGCGAGAATATTCCGTCCCTTCCTCTGCTAGGCCCTGAAATCCGGCCTGAAATCCAGTGAGGGATTATTTATAATCTAGAACTGGCGACTGTTACACGTCGCCAACACTGGCAGCAAGAACAAGTCGGCACCTGCAGCTACGCCTACAGGCTACAGCACACACGCGGCCATTGACTATATAATATAACAACGTTTGTTATATATATAGTCAATGCCGTGTGTGCTGTAGCTGCAGGTGCCGACTTGTTCTTGCTGCCAGTGGTCGCCAACGTATGTTAAGCGAGAAGCGCGAGGGCTATATATAGTTCTAGAGCTACATGTAGCCTATAGCTTAGTGTGTACTAATTACTATAGCCTAGGCCTCGAATCTTAGGTTTGTTTATTGTTCTATTTACTTTTTGTCAGACCAGCAATAAATTGTTCCCTAGAAGTAGAAGTATTTATAATCTGGTGACGTTTAGTACTAGTAGGTATACTAGCCTATACTATATAGGCTCTAAGTCTAAGGCTGTGCTAGTGTCAGATTTACACAAATTCTTAGAGCAAAAGCTATATGGCACTATGCATGGTGTAGAGTTCTGTCTGACTGAAAGTGGAACTTGGAAGTGAAAGGCGCTAATTGCCGAGTTGGTGACACTCACACAGACGCGATGGATCAGAGACTTGTTTCTCAGCTGTCGCCGTGGCGATCTCGAACACGTCACGTATGTATGTTTAGCTGTCTGCATCTACATGTTTCAGCACTTTATCATAGTCTATCAATTAACCATGCAGAGGATATGCAATACTAGTACTAGTAGTACATCATATTCAGCGTGTTAAAGAAAATTATTTCTTAAATAACTGCAGAATCGGTGAAAATATGTATAATGTAGTAACACTATATAGTCTCACCTATAACTGTCATATATCATATGTTGCGCTTTTTCTTACGCGTATGGATACTCTCTGTGTGCGGTAAAGGTCGGCGCGGGGGTTCTGCCCGCCGTGCGTGAATAAAGATAATGCGTTTACCTAATGTCTTACGCCTTCTCGTGGCTATGCATACTAAACATTACATGGTGGCAGCGGTAAACAGCCGTGGAGATGACAAGAGTGACTGGTGAGTCGGATTCATGCGTTTTCCCGTCATGACACGCATATTAAGACAAACGTGACTTTTCGTTCGGTCGCTCACGGCTTCGACAAGTACAGGCAGATATACGCCGCTTTATACACACGCGAGCGACTCCGTGGTGAAGTCAGATTCTACACGCGCGATACAACGGATGGCACACTGTCAGCAACAGAGGCAGGCGCCGCTGTGTGTGACAGAAATGCAGGGACATGGATACGCACCTTTTACAACGTTTAAGGTTTCTGGATTCTACATTGACTGTTACAATATAGGGACTCGACCCCATTGTGCTGTGCTATCCTGTTGAGCTGTACATACCTACTGTGTGAGTCGGTATGGGGGAATTATCTGGCATCACACCACCACGTATGGACTGGTCAGCTCCTGACTTACCAACTGCATTCATAGAATTCAAGCCAGTACTGTCCTTGATTCTATCAGGACCACTCAAGGAAAAATCAGTGAAAACAAGCCAATTTCATCTGATTTGGATTGGCCAGGAAGGACTGAAATCTTCACACTCATGAACATTGTTGCGCGACAACCGCGAAACATTATGGATAGATTTGAAGCATTCATAGAACCAACTTCAAACTTCGCGGTCCCATCGTTTCAGTTACAGAGTGTCCGACAAAGCCTGGTGAGTCAGTTGATGAATTTATCCTCCGTGTAAGACTCTCGCCAAGAAATGCAAGATTCTCTGAAGCCGAGATGGAGGAGAGACTAATTGAACAGCTGATCGTAGGAACAAACCACAAAAAGATACAAGAAGTCCTGTTGGGTAAAGACGACAAACTAAAGCTAGAACAAGCACTAGATGTTGCTAGGTTCCGTGAAGCCACTGACTCACACATGAAACAATTTGACGAAGCTTCCGGTGTGTCAACAGTACACAATGTGTCAGCGCACTCGCACCCACACAATGCGATAGTTGGGAAAAACCATCCACCAAGCCTAGAGAGCGCTTGCCCGCTTTGGATCAAGGTGTGAATTTGTAAAAAATTCAACCACTGGAGACAGTGTGCAGATCACGCAACACTAAACACAGACTACAGAGGTCAAGATCCATGTCAAGGGGTAGAGGCAGGGCAGAGGCAGACACACACAGATTCTCGACGCCACAACGTCGTGAAAGTCATGAAGTGTCTGATATGAGTACTGCGGCCCTAGGTGGGGACTTCGAAAACTTATCATTTGGATCTGTCGACGTCAATAATGACAGTCGAGATGAGGTATATGCTACAGTGCAGCGTGACTCTGGCGGCAGAACCCAGCACACCATGCACTCTAGAGTGAAGGTCGAAACAGCGCACAGGAACCTACTCCGCTACGAGTATTCCGTCGCATGTATCCTGAGAAGTTAGACAGCGAGGGGTTTCCAAAAACTGGATCCACAACCTTGTGTCCCACTAGGCTAACTGCCTACAATGGTTCCAAGATTCCTCAGTATGGTGTGATCAAAATACCATGCAAATTCCACAGCAATTCCAGCCTGTCGGAATTCTACGTCACAGACTCCAGCGGTCCTGCCATCCTTGGTCTTCCAACATTACGAGCACTGAATCTCGTCACACTCAACTGGCAGTTCAGCAGTGGGTCTCAACTCCAAGGAAGATCTCCGCAGATGTATCCCGACGCGTTTCAAAGGCATCGGACATTTCAAAGGGAAATTTCACACACCGCGATGATCAGTCCGTACCTCCAGTCGGCCATGCCACGACGTTGTCCTATTCACATTAAGGATGAACTGAAGCATGAACTGGACACCATGGAACAGGTTGGAGTAATCGCCAAAGTGTCCGAGCCTACAGACTGGGTGAACAGTCTGGCTTATTTCGCAGGCCAATGGCAAACTACGGGTCTGCCTCGACCCAAAAGACCTTAACAAAGGCCATAAAGGACCTCACTATCGCACTCTGACGCTGGAAGAAATCACCCACAAATTTGCAGGTGCTACGGTATTCTCCAAACTTGACGCGCGTCATGGGTATTGCGCAGTTCAACGGTGAGTGAGAGATCAGCCGTCTCCCACTTTCAAGGCCCCTTCGGACGGCTATTGCTTCCGGCGACTTCCATTTGGGCTCAACTTGAGTCAAGAGCGTGTCTTCAGGAAGGCGATGGACAACATCCTTGAACGCTGCACTGGAGTCGTTGGTATTGCCGACGATGTCGCAGTAGTCGTAGAGACCAAGCTGAACACGACAAGAACCTCATACAGGTTATGTCAGTCGCCAGAGAAGAAGCGCTGACTTTCAATTTCGGAAAATGTGAGATTAACAGACCTTCGATCAAATTCTTTGGGATGCGGTACGATGCAGACGGAGTTCCACCCTGACCGCCGACAAAGTCGAAGCCATTCAGGCAATGGACATCCCGCGTCAGCCAAGCAGTTGCAGGAGTTCCTGGGTATGTTACGTACCTGTCTCCATTTCTACCCCATGTGTTCAGCTAACTGCACCCCTAGCGGGAACTCATCAAGAAGGACGCAGTGTTTGATGGACCCCTCTCACCAGGTGGCGTACGATAGAAT